CCGATGGACCAATGTAAATAGTACCATAATACTGTGTTAACCTTTTGGGTTCCATTCGGTAATTTAATACTAATGGTAATATCTAATACGTTTATATTAGATCTAGTACGTTTAGTACTTATATATCTAGTACGTTTTAGTACTTACTTTTTTGTACTCATTATCATAATAATGATGCAGCCCATTATTCATTACATCAAAAAGCCAATGAAGTATAATATATTTCCAATGGAAATATCGGTACTATTATTTTAGACAATTTTAAAACTTTTGCATTTAAAAGTGACTACACTTTTGTACTTGTGATGTTCAGCGGCTTGTTTGCATAGTTTTACTACATTGGAAATTTTAACCAAAATTCACACAATCATTCGCTGTAGTATAGATCCATGTGGAATTGGAAACTATATTTCATATAACCGTCAGTAATTATTAGTAAAAATGTTTGAAAAATATTTCCATAAAACATTTTATTTGCCATAGTCAAAGAGTGATACTTGTTTTTACTACAAATAAAAACAAGTGAAAAAGCGTTAAGTTCGGCCGGGCCGAACTTTGGATACCCTCCACCATAGATATACTGACAGGTACTTGAAAAGAAAATTTAGGGAAAGTACCAAAAAGGGGACCTATATCGACATTTCCACAAACCATACACTTTGACACGGTTAAAATGGTTCTAGACCCCATGTTTCTTTGGATCAAAATTGTTTCAGGAAATTTTGATTTCATTCAAACTTTGGCCATCTTATTATTTCTTCCATATTCCGATGGGGAATATCGGCCCACTCCTTCTGGTACCTCCCACATAGGTGCTAGGTCTAAATACGGGTTATAGTTCATATATAGTTCATTATCGAACCTTACGTCCTAGTTTTTTATCTCGATATCCTCCGCAGGTAATATGATTACAACAGAGTCTTAGAACCAAACCAAAACGCGTAACTATTTTAATATAAACCCGTAAGGAAAGTAGTAAAGTCGGACGGGGCCGACTATATGATATCACCACTTTGGGTATATTCAACAGATGGAATCCTAACGGACGTCGCATTTTTTAAGGACCATTAACATGCAATTAAACATGCCATTTTGCAACCTATACTAAATTTTGGCCAGATATAGAGTTGCTTCTTACAATGGGACAAAATTATGTAAATAATAATGTATTATAAAGCAAAATATCGAAATCTAAACCGATTTCATCGAAACTTGTCATATGTTCGGCCACATTTTGAGTTCTACATTTACTTATAAATCCAAAAAATGAACCTATATTTCAATAGGGTTCGTCCTTTGGATCAAATAAGAGAACTGTGCCAAATTTCATCCAAATCGGATCACAAATGCGATCTGTACTTTGTTAACAAAAATACGTGGACGGACGGACGGACATGTATAAATCGACTTAAAAAGTGATTCTATGCATATTCTCAAAAGGAACCATGTGTCTATCTCGTTTCCTTTTGCCTGTTACAAACATATGCACAAAGACGTAATACCCTGTACCACAGCGTGGTGAAGGGTATAAAAGGGGGTTATATTGGGACTACCCAAAAAGGGGGTGCATATTAATAATTTTTTGTAGGGAAATTTGTTACCATATACGACTACAAAATACGAAATTTCAACGAATTCGGTTAAAAAACGCGCTCAAGAACCCCAAAATACCGAATATTGGGGGGTACCCTTATATGGGTGCTATGCCTATACGTGGACCGATATATCCCATCTTCGAACTTGACCAGCCTGCAGACAAAATACGACTCTGTGCAAAATTTTGGTGATATATCTCAACTCGTTTAGACGCTAGACGGACATGCTTAGATCGGGTCGGAAATGATTATTTCGATGAGCTACAAACGGAAAAACAAAATTAATATACCCTCCATACTATGGTGGAGGGTATAAAAATGGGGTTATATGGGGACTACCGCTAAATGGGGTGAGTATTAATAATTTTTGGTAGGGAGATTTGTTACCATATGTGATTATAAAATACTAAATTATAGCAAATTCGGTTGAAAAACGCGCTCATGAACCCCAAAATACCGAAAATTGGGGGGTACCCTTATATGGGGCCAATCAGAAAAATTTTGGCGATCTATCTCTACTCGTTTAGACGCTAGAGTGATTACAACAGACGGACAGACTGACATGCTTAAATCGTCATAGAATTTTACGCTGATCAAGAATATATATATGTATATACTTTATATGGTCGGGAATGATTCTTCTAATATACCCTCCATACTATTGTGGAGGGTATAAAAATACTTCTTTAATTTTTTAAAACTACTCTACTCGGAATCTACCTCTACTCGTTCTGTCGTATACAATATTTGGTACTTTGAATACAAATCAAACAAAATTGCCAAAAGCATTGTGTTTTATAGAAAAAGCCTTGTACCCAAATTCTATATCCACCCGTACCGCCGTATACAACGTGTTGTACTTTTTAGTACATTTTAGAACTTATTAATGCAAAATATTTATTTATAAATTGTTATTGACATAGTTCCAGATAATTATTTAATAACAGGTTCCTACATTCATCCATTCTACCGTACACAATATTTAGTACTTGTATTCGATTCGTATTCTATTTGTTTATAATATACAAAAAATATAATATACTACATACCGAATTTCTGAATTATACTTTTTCCCACACTGTGCAATATTTTTTATTTTTGGTGCCATTTAGTACGAATTTTCAATAAACCAAGCCTCTAATTTGTACTAATAGTTGGACATTTTTGTACTCTAAATTTACATTTATATTTTTTACCATTCACTGTGGTACAATATTTAGTACAATTTTGTGCAAATCGCTCTATTTGTAACAGTTAAGCTACATACTAAATTTCAGATCTCAATCTATCACTTTTTCATTATAAGTTAATATTTTGTACCATTTTAGTACAAATTTAGCATAGCATAGTATTTGTAATAGTTAAATCTATGTACCGCGTTTCAGATTTCTATTCCTACTTGTTCCATTGTACTACAGTATTTAGTACTAATTCCAAAAAAAGTTCTGCATAGCATTATATTTGCAATAGAGTAAGCTACATACTTTATTTCAGATTTCTATCTTAGCAGATCCATTATATTTTACAATTTGGTAGTTTTTATCGCAACTTTAGTGCTAAATTCAAAAAGTGTTATCAGAAAAAAATATGCATAGTATTCTATTTGTAATAGTTAAAGCTATATGCCGAATTTAAGAACATTTTAATATATTCTAGTACTAATTTAAAAAATATGTTTGCCCATCATTCTACTTGTAATAGCTTAAGTTAGATACCAAATTTCAGATATCTATCGCTACCTGTTCCATCGTAGTATAATATTTAGTATTGTTTAGTACTAATTTCCAAAATTCATTCGCACATTCTGATTTGTTTACCAATGACAAAGCTGCATACTAAATTACAGAGTTGCGGTTCCAACCGTTCCGGCGTAATACAGTTTTTAGTACTATTTAGTACTATATTTGTACTAATTTCCAAAAAATATTTTTGCACATCATTATATTTGTAATGGTTTAAGCTACATACCAAATTTCAGATATCTATCCCTACCTGTTTCATCCTAGTACATTTTAGTACCTTTAGTACTAATTTCCAAAACTTGTTCACAAATTCTGATTTGCTTATCACTGACAAAGCTGCATACCAAATTTCAGAGTTCTACTTCCAATCGTTTCGGAGTAATACAGTTTTAGTACTTTTTAGTACCTTTTAGTACTAATTTCCAAAAAATATTCTTGCCCATCATTCTATTTGTACTAGCTTAAGCTAAATACCATGTTTCAGTTATCTGTCTCCAACGGTTCCAATGAAATATAACCTTTAGTACTTTTTAGTACCTTCTAGTACTAAATTACAAAATTTTTTCACACATACCACTTATCGTGGACAAAGCTGCATACCAAATTTCAAAGTTCTAAACCTAACCGTTCCCCCGTAATACAGTTTTTAGTACGTTTTAGTACGAATTTCCAAAAACCCCGCCTTATCACACGCCTCCCCACCAAACCCAACCGACATGCCAAATTTCAAGTTTCTAGCTTTAACCGTTTCGTCTGGGCGTTGATGATCAGTCAGTCACTTATAACGCAACTCTTTTATATATATAGATTAGGCATAGCAACTCATATAATGTATAGAAACAGCAGCTTTCACCCAACCTCCCGAAATAAAACCTGGGTACGTTGGTGATGGCCTCATATAACTGTGCCCAATATCTGGAGATACCAGAGGAGAGGGCAGATGGGTCCCAACTACGGGTTTGATCTAGACTTCGTAAAGATAGTAGGTTGTTCAAAGTTTGGTTCAAAACGGACTTTCCATTCGCTTGATATGGTATTTATAAATATTGAAATTGATGTTGACCCTTTGTGGGGAAGGTACCAGAAGGAGTGGGCCAATGGGTTCCACCTTAAAACTTGATCTAGGCTTGTTTAAGATAATATTTTGTACAAAGTTTGGTTCTAATTTTTTGCACAATTTTGACCATTTTGTGTGGGAAGTACCAGAAGGGGTGGACTGATATTCACCATCTTCGAACTTGCACTAAATTTGGAAGAAATAATAAGATGTACAAAGTTTGGACGGAATTCAACTTTTCTGAAACGGATTTGGTCTAAAGAAATATGGGGTTTAGAACCAATATTTCGATGACATTTTCACCGTATCAAAGTGGATACACCCCCATTAGCCATAAGACTGAGGGTATAAATATCCATTAAAATTTGTATTTGGTGTATATTATGGGTTACATAAATCGGTTTGTACAAATCCACTTTTTGGTATGTTCCCAACATTTTCATTTCAAGTACCTGTCAGTATACCTATGGTGGAGGGTATCCAAAGTTCGGCCCGGCCGAACTTAACGCTTTTTCACTTTTCACTGTGTAAACACATAGAGTATGACGGACATTGTCTACAATTGAAATCAGTTAAAAAAAAAAATTCAACCATTTACTGTTACAGCCAAATCGATTAATATCACCTGCAACATTGCTACGCATACGTCGAGGCAATAGCTACGAGATGGCAACATTACTGTGCAGTATGCTTGTCGGGGCTGGATTTGACGCTTTTGTGGTTTCGGGAATTGCCAGAACGAAAGTAGTTGACAATGACCAACGTAGTGTACCGTTTCCGGGAGATATATACAATATGGATAGCGACGAAAATGCAAAAAGTGAACCTACTATCGGTGATAAATTCCGTCTAGGTGGTATGCCTGATTTGCAAAGCCATTTGGAGAACAATATAGCAGAAATTATTAAACAAAAAGAAAATGAAAAGCGACACCAAGAAACATTAAAACGTGAAGAAGAGGTATGTACGCACAATTACTATATATATATAGGAAATTACAAAATTCTTTCAAAAATACCATTAATTTTTTTTTTTTTTTTGGCGAGCACATTTATGATTTTTGGAACATTGGTTAAGAAAAATATGCTGATTCGAAAACTGTTCGCGTTTACATACTAGGATGCTGCGCACAAATCTTGTATTTCAAATATAAATAAAATGAATTCCTATTTATTGTAATTCGCGAAGTTCTTCACAAATTGTTAAACACATTTGTTCTCTTAGCATACTAGTCAAATCACATTGAAATACGGTAAAATAGTCGCGAAAAACAAATAAAAGTATGAAGATATCTGAAAATAAAATTAATTTTATAATTAAAACATAAGTTTTTTTGAATTTTCGATTTTTTAGTATGGTTAAGGGAATACGGCTTTGGCTTAATCTTCTAAAATATTCGACGCTTTCTTCTTCAAATTCTTTTAAATGATTGTTAAATATCGGTAGATTCATCTGATTAGAGTTTCGACTTTTAAAATAACTTAATATATTGCACTTTAAATACATAAAACTTATCAATATTAAAAAGCATGCTAATCGTGTATTCGTTGAAATCAGTTGATCACATGCGCATCAAGATTTTCCTATAAACCGAATCAATCTCTTCCAATAATTATGAATTCTTCGATGTTTCATTTAGCGGCCAAAGTGTGCCGCTCGATGCACTTTACTAATGCAAAAACCCTAAAAATCGCTAAAAATGACGCAACGTGCATAAGATTTTTATGCGTATCATATTTCAGTAATCTCCAATGAAAATACAAAAAGAATTGGTTAAGACCGCGGATGTGCCACCACAATCAATTTTGGATAAAATAGGCTTATTATTCGCGTATTGATGTATTTTTGACCTCTTCGCGAATATGATAATACAAGCCTGAATGTAGGTAAAATCAATTCGAAGAAAAACGCGGTTATATACGCGAATTAGTCAAAGTAACTTTTTGCAGTTTTTCCTAAATTCAAGGTACCGCCGTTTTATTGGGCGGAATTGAACATGGCTGAATCATTAGATTCGGCACGTAAAAAATTTACGCACCAAATTTTCGTCTTTGGAATCCAATTGCAAAGAAGCTACGGTGAGCACATTCATGAGGTATACACTAAACGAAGCAAAATCACGAGTTCTACAATCCTATATTTTCAAAAAAAAAAACAAAAAAAAAAAAAAACAAAAAAAAAAAAAAAAAAAAATCAGCATCCGTTTTGGGTGGATGCAGTGATTATAGAGAAAAATCATACATTAGAACCATATTGTCCATGGGGTATTCTGTAACTTAGTCACTGATCACATATGCGTGCGTTGTGTAGTTTAGCCACAAATCAGGAACGAACACAAAGAAAACCAGTGAGCGGAGATGTATAGTCGGACGGGGACGACCACACGATCCTCCTCCTTACACTAACATATTTTCCGAATATTACTATTCATATTCAGTACAACCCTTCTAATTACTTGTCAATATTCCCTTCACCGTGGGTTGTGTTGTGATGTTCGGCCTATTATTGGCATCGACTCGAAAAAAAAAAAATAAATAAATAAATTTTCGGTCCACTTCATCACAAAATTATTATCTGATCATCTCCGAAAATTATAGGCATTGTCCTTGACCATAACTGGATCCTCGTGGAACATTTCAAAGCGATCAGCACTATATTTCCGCCCTATAGTGTGGTAATGGTTTATTAAATAATATCTGAATACGTAAGCACCTGTAAATATTCAATTTTTGTCATTTTTCACACAAAAGTCAGGGTCCATTTGACCCGCTAAATATTGACTGATCTTTATCCAAACAGGCATGCTTATTCTTTGGCCCAATACCCTTCTCCATGTAAAAATTCGAGATGTTTGGGCCATAATTGCGGCCTCTGGAGCGACCAGAAAAACCGAAAAAATTAAGTATTTGGTTTATTTCATCCCCTAAATATTAAAAGATCTTTACCAAAAACAATAGGGGTCTTCATTGGCCGAACCCTTCCACAAGCAAAATTTCGTGAAGATTGGTCCATAACTGTGGCCTGTATCGTGTTTACAAATTATAATGGACAGACGGGCGGACCGACGGACACACATTTCTAGATCGACTCAGCTAGTCGAGATATGACGATCGGTATACTTAACGGTAGACCTACCAATATTTCGCGGCGTTACAAACTCTTGGGGCTGCACAAAGCTATAATACCCTGACAACATAGTTGTGTAGGGTATAAAAATTCGTTGGCTTCAACCCTTTTTTAACCATTTTTCTACATTACAACTATCACAGCTTCCAACCAACTTATTATTTATTACCAATATTTTAAGATTTTGACAAGAACACTTCATTTTATAGAAACGAATTTAAATTATATGCAATTTGTTCATATTTCGCGATTTATAAGCTTGCAAAACTCAGTTTCAAGGAATTTAAAAGCTTTTTGTAATTTCCCATATAAATCACTTCAGTTTTTTGTCATTGCAAAAATCTTTTTATTATTAATGTGAATAAAATTGCAAATGTTTGGTAACACGTGGGTGTACATTAGGGTTATGACTTTTAAACTTTTTTCTCAAAAACGTTTTAAAATAGTACGAATGAATGAGCTTTCATCTGTTAATGACTAAAATAACGTTTCCATTCAATTTAATAATTTAAAAAGGTCACGAAAAATCAATTTTAATTTATGGTTTTGTAAAAAAATTAATTTCTATGCTCTTCACCATACTGTGGTACAGGGTATTATGTTTTTGTGCATATGTTTGTAACAGGTAAAAGGAATCGAGATAGACCCAAGGTTCCTTTTGAGAATATGCATAGAATCACTTTCTGAGTCGATTTAGTGTACTGAACAGAGTACTGAATTAGGTCCAGACTGATATCTGCGAAGTTTTGTTTAGATCGGTTCAGATTTAAATATAGCTCCCATATATAGTATGTAAATGATGCACCAAAGTTCTATATATCTTTCGATTTGCACGAAATTTGGCATAGTGTATTGAATTAGGTCCAGAATGAGAGCCATATATATTTTCGTCCGATTTAATGTAAATGGTGCACCAATCCCCCTATATATTTTTCGATTTGCACGAAATTTGGCATAGTGTACTGAATTAGGTCTAGAATGGTGTGTGTTAAATTTCCTGAAAATCGTTTCAGATTTAGATATAGCTCCCATATATAGTTTCGTCCCATTTTTTTGTGAATGATGCACCAAACTCCCAATATTTGTCTGATTGGGACAACATATTGCACAGAGTACTAAATTAGGTCCATACTGATGTCTGAGAAGTTTTGTTCAAATCGGTTCAGGTTTAGGTATAGCTCCCATATTTAGTTTCGTTCGATTTTTTGTGAATGATACACCAAAGGATTGGACAACATTCTGCATAGCGAATGCAAATTGAGGAAAAAATGATGTGTGATAAGGTTTGTTGAAATCGGTTAAGATTTTGATATAGGTCTTATATATATTTGCGTTCGATTTTATGTAAATAGTGCACCGAAGGGCCTATGTTTGTTCGATTTACACGAAATTTGGCAGAGGGTATTAAATTGAATATAGAATGACAACAAAACGCATTTGGTGTATGCAACGGTTGCTCAATTAGGTCCATTGATTTATATATAGCACCTATACATAATTTTATTCGCTTTCATACAAATGGTACACTAAAAAATCCAAGTCTGCCCGTTTGACATGGAATTTTTCATTGATTTCAGAATGGTATGAGTATGGGGTTTTTTCAATTGGTTCAAATATCTATCTACTGGTTTATTTTTAATTAAACATACCCAAAATTTATGATTTCCACGAAAAGCCACACAACTTGTGTGGTTTTTTTTATCTCACCCTGTACATACACTTCATCCATCTAAAAATTTAATAATCACTATATAAAATAGAAAACAAAATCTATGTTTAAAAACCGCCGAACAGATTTGGCTGATGACTTTGCTGATGAAATCACGATAGAGGCCGCAAAATATTGACACATACATTGCTATTGCACTTTAGATATATGAGTCCACGTTTTGATCTATATCCCTTTGATATATTTACCTTTATATTCGGTATTTTGTAGATGATGCAATAAAGTCACTATATTTCTTTCGATTTGCACGAAATTTAGAATAGCGTACAGGATTGAGTCTAGAGGGATGTGTGCTAAGTTCCGTGAAAATCGGTTCAGATTTAGACATAGCTCTCATATATATTTTCGACCGATTTTATGTAAATGTTGCACTAAAGATATAAAATATTTCTCCGGTATTTTCTGTAGTTTCGTCCGTTTGTGTTTATGATTACGATATGTAAGAAGTTTTGTGGTCGCTATAACGGATATTTCGAGCAAGTTTGAAGGCTTTTAAGGAAATCCATACGATATTTATTTCCACGCCATTACATAGGGATCCAATTAATTTAAAACAATAATTGAAACTCTTTTTAAGAAAATGTAAATAATTTCGGAGGTACATTCACTTTCAAATCTACAATTCGAAAGAGTATAAATAATCACTTAAAATTACTTTCAAATGATCACTGCCCTTACAAGGCAAAATTCAAATAAAAGGATTTTGCGTATGTATTGACTGTAGTTTGGACTGTAATTGGGGTCGCTTTGAAAGACATCATCCACATTAAGACGCCTCTCAAATGTATCAATATTGGCCCAAGTTTCTGGGTAGATGGCATATAAGAAGAGATGGGCAGTGGGTAAATACCCGGTAAATTGGGCAAATGTCAATATTCTCGGGTTTCTCTTATCAAGTCGATTCAAAACGGATAGTTTTATAATACACAGAAAAAAAAGCCACCCCGAAATTTTTGATTAAAAGCTTCATCAGCGTTCGACAAAAAGATGTCGATAACATATTTCAAACGTAGTCGGAAATGTTTATCAAACACCAACAATTCACAAAAAAACCATCAACAAACGAGTTTGACCAAAAAAATTATTAAATTTGTTGGACAATTTTTAATAATTTTTTTGTAATATGCCATATTATTTTTTATTACATTATTACAAAGTACTTTGTTGAATAGATTGTAAAAGATGGATAACAAATATAAGTTTTTATTCGGTATAGAGCTACACATTTAGTTTAAAGCCGTTAAAAAACTGAAAATTTGGAGGTATTTTTGTGGGAGAGCTGTAATAATAAAAGTAAAAATCGGCAATTGCTGTTTAAAAGGTTTTGTATCGTACTACAAGAAATTTAATTTGAAATAATAATAATAATTTGATAAACAAGATTGTCAATATGAAAAATATTTTATCGATTAACAAAATAAAATTCAACAAAATTTTTAGTATATATGAGAATTGCTTTATCAAAATATTTTCGAATGGGATTACAATTTTTTTTATCGGCGATTGTAAATATGAACATTATTTTTATCGGCGAAAAATCAATCAAATTTTAATTGGATTTTTGAATTTTTTTATCAAATGGTTACAATTTTTTTTTCTGTGTACCTTAAACATGTGGGTAAATACTTGCGCAAAAACAAAAAAACTCTTTAACTGGCAAACCACTTGCCGTAGGCTGCCAAAATTTGGCTCACATGTTTTTAATATCAAAACTAATACTGATATGGAAAATGGGTTCTCTCGGTCCATGTTTTGATATAGCCCCATATAACTGTACCTCCCGATTCAAGGTATTTTTTATATAATAGCCACCTATTACAATCAAATTTTTTATATATTAGCCACATCTTACTATAAAATTGGCTATAATATGGCACAGAGAGTCCCCAATGACTACCAATTAACCATGCAGAAATGGGCATTTTCTTAGTATTTGCCCAACCCTTGGTAATTTTTTTCAACCGAATTTGATATTTTTGGTTTTCGCTGAGTGTCAAATTTTCCTACCAAATATGAACAAGATCTGTCTATTATTATTATTTTCGGTATTTTGACGATTGGTATGAAAAGTTCACATTGACCGAACTTAAAGACGTTTGATGCTTGTTCCAATATATCATGCTTTGACCGTCAACATATTACTGATGAAACTAAATATATACATATTCTGTTGTTGTAGGATTTAAAGCAGCAAGACGTGGATAGATTTCGCTACCGTAAACCACATGCATGGGTAGCAATTTTTACAAACGGAAACAAAAATGTGATGGAGCAAAAAGATGATGAGGCTAGTACGGCCAACACTACTAAGGTGGAGTTTATTGAGCCCTCTACAGGGTTTTTCGTTAGTAGTAACTGCATGGACTATACTTTGATTGACAGCGTGTGGAATCAGAGCCAATATTATGTGAATAAACAGGTATATGTTCGAGTTGGTGAGGTTCGGTGGGATTTACAAAATTTGGAGGATTGGGAGCACTTTCTACCGGGCGAAAATCGAATAGGAAACCCCGTAGACTATGATTCTGACATAATGGCTGAAAAACACTTGAACACAGTTCCATCGTGGGTTTCTAAGCTACACATCGACGAACGAGAATACGAAGAACGATTTTCACAGCGTCAGAAAACCATACTCTATGAAAGGGTTGAACATCAGCGCTTTTCACCCTTCTTTAACAAAGATGGAAGAGTAATGCAATTGACGCTTTACGAAGATGACACATACGCAGATCCAATTATGGATTGGGTTTATTTTGAAAATCGTGCCGATATGTTGTTGAAGGTTGAAAGAAACTACAAAACTTCTGTTATTAAAGAAGTCTTCGGAAAGGGGCGTAAAGATAACTTGTTGGGTAAGTATGAAGTGTATAACTTTAAGTTCTGAAATAACTACCTAACTGATTTTTAACTAAATGTGTAGCAAAATAAATAAAACAGGAAATATTATTGGACTATCAGATAATACTGATTATTTGCTGAGTAAACTGTTTTATATGACTAGGGCTTAAACGGCGAAAACGTTATATACCTGTATTAAATGCAATAATTGTAGTAAACGTCGTTTATTTCAATATTTTCATTGGATACAGTTATTTTCAAGAATATATAATATTTTTACATATTTCAGACTATTCTTCACTCATCCTGACAAGAATTTTTAAACTTCGTTGAGAAGAAAATTTTGAAATTCAACATGGGTTTCAGTAAGATTTGTATAATTTCAATATTGACTAATGGAAATAATCTAATGGTTTTGCATATGTTTCAGACTTTTCTGACATCTGTATTATATATCGAAAATGTATGTCATTTACGTCACTGTTTCTGACGGACCATCTCTGTATATGACACAAAAGTATCACATCTTACGTTAGTAGGCCACACAATCATTTTTATATCATACAACTTAAGATGAAGAGTATAAATTTGTCATTCCGTTTGCAACACATCGAAAAATTCATCGGAGATCCCATCAAGTATATACTATTGATCAGAAAAAAAATCTATGTTATCTGTCTGTTGAAATCACGATAGAAATCGCAATATTTAAGGAAGAGCTTAAAAATTTTGCACTGGCGTTGCTATTACTCCTAGGATGTTTGGTATTGCAAATATATATCGGTGAAGCCCCAATAAATCGGTACGGTAAAAAATATATCGATTTGGCTGCAATTTCTTATATTGCGATTCCATTGAGTAGAAAACAACTCTACTAAAAATAATGGATATAGGTCTACTTTTTAGGATGACCCTAAATAGCAAAATGTTCGATATTTTGGGGAGTTTGAGCAAGTTTTTGGTATATTGTGTTCCTATTAGGAACCAAATCTCCCTACCAATAATTATCAATACCAGTTCACATTTAGACATAGCCACAAAAAAAAACTAATTGTAATTTGGTATTTTGGATTCCTATGTGGTAACAAAACTCCGTACTAAAAATTATTAATATTCGCCATCTTTTGGTGCTAGTCCTTATAGTACGTTTACAGTGTACCGAATTTCGTTAACCCAGTGGGTTTCAATTGTCAATTCCATTGCATATATGCCAAAAAAATCCTCATGAAGTAGGTTAATCCGGTAAAGAGTTCTAATGTAAATGCCATTTTATATAACAACATTTTTAGATTTTACTTTTGAGAATATGCATAGAATCGCTTTCTGAGTTGATACCCGTCAGTCCGTCTGTTCATGTTTAATTATGAACAAACTGCCATATATTATATATAGCTACCACATTTGCATAGCGTACCCAATCGAGTCTAGAATAGCATGTGTTACTTTCGGTGATATCGGTTAAATTTACAATTTTTGGAGCATTTCTTGTATATACTCAAATTGGTAAAGAGTATCATATAGTCGACCGCGCCCGATTTTTGAACTTTCCTTACTGATTCATATTTAAAGTTCAGTTAACTGGTTTGTTTCGCGTGTTTCATCATATAACAGTATTGCGCCATAGGCATAGCCCCTCCTCCATATCATGACAGATTCAGATTTTCGGTATTTCAAATGTTTAGCATGAAAAAAAGGTATCATGATACAAATCTAAATGTTCAGGTTCGAAAATAAAGTGGGCCACACACGTCAAACATGTGCATTCGATCGGTGTGAAGCTCCTAGCCCACACACGTAAAACGGATCTACAAAACTTCATTTTGTATTTATTTTTGAAGCGTTAAGATGGACAGCGATAGTGATGACGGAAAAAAGACCAAATTTTTTTGTTTAATATAAATTTATTAAATACTTTTATTTTATTCCGGGAAAAACATTTTTATTGCCACACTGTAGAATATGTGTAAAAAACATCAAAAATTTTTCCAAAACGTTTTTTTTTTGTATATGTTTGACTTTATCCGCTGGCAATTGTCCGTCAAACATGTGTGCGTCGCACAACGAAAAATTAAAAATTTTTAATTTTTTTCGATCGGTGTGCGCACCGGCAGATCGGTGTGAACACCGTACCACACACGTTAAACATTCACACCGATCGAACGCACATGTTTGACGTTTGTGGGCCACTTAACCCTTTCAGTGTCAAAAGAAAATTTTGTCGGAATAAAAATCTAAAATTTTGTACTTAAAATCATATGAAGGCAAAGAGTTTAGAAAAAAAAAACAATTCTTATTTTAAGACAGTTTTTGTCTGACAATTTTGTCTGTCTGTCAAAAACAAAGACATCAATTGTAACGGTACATAGGATAACGGAAAAATTGCAAAGGAAGACAGTAATTTTAAATGTCGAATATATTCGACAAAAACATTAAAAGGGTTAAGCGAAATATTTAGGCATCGCCCCATATAATGATACCTTCCGATTTCCTTTGCCCTCTAAATTGCAGTATATGAGGATTAAAAGTTGATGCGATTTGTATTTTGAGTGCATTGTAGTTTACAACATCGACTACATTTTGCACTTTCTGGTTCTGATCCGGCCAATTATTCATTACATTATAGGGTGGGAAACCTCAACTAGAATAAATGTTTATACCTAAATGTCAATGCCATCAAAGGTGGCTGAAATTTAGCATTTCTGGTATCCGCTATTGAAATCCTATTTAAATATCCCAACATTTTTTATTACATCGGAGGTATTAGCCACATTCCCCAAACTCATTCGCGTGGGGTACATTCATTTCAACTAAATGTCAGTGTAAATATGTGTAAAAACGGCGTATATATGTATGTATACGCCGTTTTTACTTGCTTCAGTATGGAACGGACTGGACAGATAACCATTTTGTTACACATTGTTACGATATTGAGATACTGATGTTAATTATTTATGTCGAAATACGTTTTTTTCAGAAATTATATCCAGTATGGATTTAAATAATCCTAAAAAATTGTATTTCGCCCCTAATGTTCGACGTGATTCTATGGAATTTCTTATAGTTGAACCAGATCGTATAATTGTAAAAAGTAAGGATCGAAGGGACAGGTGTTTCTATCAGGAATTCGAATTTAAACCGGGAGGAGATGTACTAAAGGTAAGCATTAAAAATGTTTAATAATTTGCAAAACAATGTGCTAGTAGATTGTTTTATTATTTTAACCGGAGCACCAAATTATTCTTCAAAATTCAGTAAATATTTTCTCCCGTTTTAGAAAATTGTACAAAAATTCGAACGTAATAATTCCCTATCCCCTGGAAAGGATATTGCCGAACGCACATTCTTGCTGTTGCAACAAAGAATACTTTTGAAGTTCCACTACCCTCCAGGAGCGTTAACGGCATCAACATGTGAGCTAAAGAAGCCGCCCAAACCAGATTATGGCCAAGAAGTGATCTACGACAAGACATTGACTAAGATATTTAAGGCATACCCGATAACAATAAAATAATTAAATTGAATTATAATATTAAAACAACAATATTTTAGGCCAGTAGCGAAGAACCAGAGCCTTTACAACTGGAAATGTACCAACTTATTATGGAACAACTGCAATGTGAGGAGATGGCTAAAAAGAATTTTAAGAAGTTGTCTGAAGAAATTAGTACCATTTTAGATAATCGTCGAAATGAAATGGAAAATCCAATACTACAATTTAGACTATTCGATTCAATGCGAAACGGTGCAGCCAGATCAAATTACTTAAAGCAGGTATGAATAGTAACAGTGCTCCGTATTCAGATCATAATTTTAAGTATTTTAGATCGAGGTGGATGATAATGATGGCAGGGTGGTTTGTGCAACAAATTCAACATAGACATCAAATCCCAATTTATTTATTCCCAAAAATATGTGCATCTTCTTCTTGTCAGTAGAATATTTGGACACTGTAACGAACCAGATGAGTAATATAATACAATATAAGATGATTCTAAAAAACAGACTTTTGTTTTGCTTTTGTAAAAGAGTATAAGAAATATATATATATATATATTATAAAAGACGCGCGTAGTCGTAAGTTTTACATATTACCGATAAAAATGGCTGCGTTTTGGAGAGCTGGCATACAACGATAACACCAACCGTTTAGTGAGTATCGACCAATAATCACTGTGCAATGATGAGCATTTAAATTTTCCAGTTTAATATTCGTTTCGTTGATTTGGTAGACTCTTCAAATTTTCGATTAACGATAACAACATTTCTTCTGTTCAATTTTGTTATCAAAAGCAATTAACACTTCAAAGGGAATTGCTTTGGTAAACAACGACTAGCAAATGTGTGGCAGCAACCATTTCCTCACAGTGTTTCGAAGATATTAAAAAGTAAATATGAATAACCAACGGCGAAACTTGTCGCATAATGGTGGGAGTATCTCTCAGGCTTTCCTTTTAATTGCAACTTCGAGCATGTAGCTCATCTCGAAAGAGAAATAAATAAAAAAAAAATATTTTATGTTTATTATAGATAATGTTACCATAGGTGTGTTGATTTTATATACAGTGGTTTTGATTTAGCTTCCTTGTATATTAATGCACTTTGGATTTAGCTGCACTAGATACACTTCTTTTGTACTTTTTCTTATATTCCCTCTTAATTATTTCGTTTAAGGGCACAATTCGTTCATGCACATTTAAGTTAACAGCACAAAATATTAGTATGTTTTCCCTCGACTGACGTAATTTTTTATATTTAGGTGCACAGAGAATTTCAATGTAAAAAACAGTTGTTATTTCTTACACACCATCCCAAACCACACACAATAATTCCATCTATTTATCAATTATTGAGGCTTTCCCTGACAATAGTCCTTCTGTTTCCTTATAAGATACTTAGCGTTGATCGCGTATTTCAGAACATTGTCCCAGATTTATGTAGTGTTTTCACTTGCGTGTAAGTGTTGTTGTTTGTACAGGTTTGACTTACCTGTACATAAGACGCTGTATATAAGACGCATTCAAATAGATTTACATACATAAATTATAATAGTTTAGTGTAGATTTAGGAAAACATGCATATTGTTATGTCAATTGTAGAAGATAAATACAATATACACATATAATATTATCACAAAAATATATATAATATAATCTATTAACAATATATAATTAGAATTAACTGATGTACATATATTAATCTCATAACACAGTGTTATATATAAAAGGGAAATCCATTAGTTACACTGCTTATAACTCAGGAACGGCTGTACTGATTTTGTTGATACATGCCAATTTAGAATGCTATACGGTCTGCGTATGATAATATCTAAAAAAGGAAAAAATTGCGAAAAATTTTCAAAACTAATTTTTGAAAAATATTTGCATTTTCCCGAATCGAGCTATTATGATTGCATCACGTAGTAGTTGTTTTTTGGCACATTTTTCATTAAATTGGCAGCGTATCTTTCCCTTGGACTTATAATAATTATTGAATATTCTTAAAATATTTAATATTTTGAATTAGGTAGAGTTTGTCTTTAAGAGAAATATAAAAAAATCGAAAATAAAAAAAAATATTGGACTATCTCTAAAAGTGATATACATATATAAATAATTTTTGGTTGAATGATTTGTTACCATATGAGAATCTAATTACTAATTTGAACCTAAATCTCTTAAAAAAGTGTCCAAATTCGCCGAATGGGGATTGGTAAATCGGTAACTCCTTTCGAGAGTTACCGTGCGCACTATCCAGCCAGATACTGTCTCCAGGCTGCGTGCATAAAAATTGAGTTTATATGTAAAAACGTTTTCTATGAGTTTTCTGATAATGATTGAATGGCACAGTTTTCCTCACAAAAAACATAAATTTTCTAGTATACTGACACACTTTCGTAAATGTAGGTAGGGGAGACTGGCTCTGATCCATAGGTATCGAATATCAAAATAAAAAACTGTAGCAAAATTTGAAATTCATATCTAGCTAATAATCTTTTTTATATGAACGGATTTTTGTATTTTTATATCCTTCACCACACTGTGGTACAGGGTATCATGTCTTTGCATATGTTTGAAACAGGCAAAAGGAATCGAGATAGACCCATGGTTCCTTTTGAGAATATGCATAGAATCACTTTCTGAGTCGATTTAGACATGTCCGTCTGACCGGCCATGTATTTTTGTGAACAAATTACAAGTCGCATTTATGATACGATTTGGATGAAATTTGACACGTGTTACTTATTTGGCCCAAGAACGGTTTCGTGAAAATAGGTTCAGATTTAGATATAGCTCCCATATATATTTTCTTCCGATTTAATGTAAATGGTGCACCAAAGTCCCTATACATCTTTCGATTTACCCGAAATTTGTCATAGCGTACTGCATTGAGTCTAGAATCATGTGTGTTCAGTTTCGTGAAAATCGGTTAAGATTCAGATAGAGCTACCATATATGTTTTCCTCCGATTTCATGTAAATTATGCACTAAATACTAAAAGTTTGTACGATTGACACACCATTTTGTACAATGTACTGAAGTTAATATGAATTAATCTCTGGCTAGGTTCGTTGATATAGCTCCCATATATAGTTTCGTTGCATTTGGGGTAAATGGTGCACCGAGTGACACAAAATTTTGCACAACGTATTGAATTGAGAGAATGACGTTATTGCGTTTTGTTGAAATTTGTGCAGATGCAGACACAATTCGATATATATTTCGAATGGGTGTCTGATTGAGATTAAATTTTGAAGAGTGTGGCCTACCGAATAGCGTGTGTCAAGTTTGCTCTAAATCGATTTACATGAATTTGTCCCATTATACGCAAATGACTCTAAACTTGCCCATATGAAATTAAATTTAGCATAGGTTCCAGAAAGGCATAAGGATCAATATTCAAGTTTGTTCAATTTCATGTCAATGTTTTTTCGAAAAGGCGACGTCTGTTAGGAGACATATGTATAATATACCCAAAATGGTGAAGGGTATCATATAGTCGGCCCAGTCTAACTTTGTTACTTTCCTTACTGGTTACAGATGTTTTTGTAATATTTTCATCCCATTTCGTAAGTATTTTGTGTATTTAACTTTTCAAATTTTATTACAGTTTTATTAAAAAGTCGTTAATAACAATGTATGCTCTTATGAAAATAATTAAAAATATGTTTTTAGAATATTGATAGAAAAAAATCAGAAATCGAGAAAAAACTGGTTTGCATCACTCTGTTTTTACCCAATTTTATACCCTCCACCATAGTATGGAGAGTATATTAATTTTGTCATTCCGATTCTAACTCATCGAAATATTCATCCCGACCCAACAAAGTATATATATATATATATATATCAGGGTAAAATTCGAAGACGATCTAGTTTTGAGTTTGTTCCGCGTTTTGAGTTTGGTTCAATGACTCTGTTGCAATCATTTCACATTTGTATAATGGTTTAAATAATCGCTTTGTAGAAATGTCGGTATGAGTCCACTGTTTGGTATTTTCCCTATATTTTCATATCAAGTATCTGTCAGTATACCTATGGTGGAGGTTATCCAAAGTTCGGCTCGGCCGGACTTGACGCTTTTTCACTTGTTTTACATTAAAGTAGACACAGTATTTGGAGCTTAATATTAATAAAAGTTTGAAATGACAGATCAAAAAATCCAAAACTATTCAATTGTTCTTATATACTTTAATAATTCGGAGTTATAAAGGGACGAACCTCGGCTTCTGGTATCTCCCCTCCCTATATTTATATGAAACACAAAAACGATTAAGAGGTGAACAGCAAAATTGGGGTGAAGTCCAAAGCAACAAACTGCTAAAATTGAAAATTTCGATATGTGGTAAATTTACCTATATTGAAAATCATACACACCAATGGCTTTCATCTCTAAAAGAAATATTTTCCAAATTGTGGTAACTTCGAAAAACTTGTCGGAATTGATCGTTTTACAATTTCATTAAACCTATATGATCATATATTTTCCAAATAGCTTATTTTTACAGGTAGGCTTCTCCTCATATACAAATTATTTTAATTAAAACTTTTAGGTGATTCAAAAATAAATTTAGATTCGAATATATGAAAACAAATCAAATGGGATAATTCGTATTTTAAATTTAAAATTTCCAATTATGAAATATTTCGTTATTTGATATGCTTTGAGAATGCTTGTCAGCCTGCTAATTTTCCTAGAACAAATGATTTTCTAATGTGGGCTAAAACATAATTTTCGTTCTGCATGCACCTCAAGAAATGTCTATATTTTAATAAATTCTACCTCATTTGTTTTGAAACACTGTGCAGCGAATTATTCACATCAAATGTTTGTTTGTTGTCATTATTGGATTCGATTGACAACAACTTCAAGAATAATTTTACGTTTCGAGACGTTGTTGGTGGCGGTGTTTGGTGATTATCACCTGTGATTTAGAGAAGAGTAGCCACTACCTTTGTCTGTGTTGACATGCTGGGAAATTGTTCAGTTTCGTATAATCAAGCGATAAAGACGGTGGTAATCGCTTCAATATGACGACGCATCGTAGTTTCTTTGTCTGTGCGATCGCGATTTGCTGTTTAGTGACCTGTTATGGTGTTATTCGACCTTCAACTTCACTCTATCTAATGGAGGGCGAAGGTTTCGTGATTTACTTGGATGTGCCAAAGAACTTTGGTGCACTTAAGAATTGCTGGTTCAAATTTAGAGGTAGATTGCATGAATCGAAGATTTATTTTTGTGATTTTTAAACTACAATGATGTATGATAGGTGACGACAAGGAGAGGATCGACCTGAACGCAACTGAGCCAATTGATACCATTCGCGGGGAACACATATTACCGTATAACGAACACGTATGCGGCATACGGGTAATGGGTGTGACAGCAGCCTCTGCCGCGATATGGACCCTTGAAACTGAAAATTATTATGGCGACTATGAACAAGGTTCAACTACCATCCAGATACTACCCTTTCAAAAAACAAAATTCGATACTCGGGTCCAAATGGAATATGGAAAGGGAACAATAAAATGTTCAAAACCTGACACGGCAAAACACTGTAAAATTGTGGATCTTTATTATGGAGAAACATACCGCGACTGTCAACTCTACACAACCATACATCCGGGTAGTTCGTTTGAGTGTTATATTTATAATTGGGGTCGCATGGAAGAGAGCTACGAACGGATATTGGTGGAAACTGTGAATAGTACATTGCCGGTTACCAATGCGACCATGACCGAGAATAGTAAAAGAGTAATAATAAGCTGTGATTTTCAAACTGCTGTGTATTCGTGCCAAGCCGAAAAACCAGACCACAAGACGGAATTGTTGATTATGGATGGTGTGTATAATGGTTATTATTCAGCCTATCAAACGGTGTAAGTTCATATTACGATTTAGAAATAATGCGGAATCCTAATGTATATAGGTTAATATTGTTTGTGTGGAAATTTTATTGTGGGCATAAAACAGATTTGATCAATTATTTACACAGTCTTTGGAGATATGATATGGGCGATTTTGCAACAACATAACAAGCTCAAATTATTTTTGGATCATTGAATCCAAACTTAAAACATTTGATCATACTTAAAATGGACAATGGTAATTACTGAACCAAATTGAACAAACGATTTTTAAATTTTGCTAACAAGATTTATTACGGTTGTATTTGAAGGGTTTCCTCGTAATAAGAAGGTATAATTGAAGTCAACACATTTCCCCCCTTAGAGTTGGAAAAGCGAGCCACAAATTTCATAGTTATTAAATAATAAATGCAAACAGATGTAAAATCGAATGTTGTTATTCGTTTATCATATTTCCATCCATGGTATAATTATTAAAAGGTAGGGCACGGCTACCAACTGACTACAATTTTTTCTCAAGGTGGGTTTTCCATCAAATCAAAATACATATGTTGTGTATGTGTGCGTAATTTTTTAATACTATGCCAAATAAATTGAATTATATTCAAATTTAATTGAAATGGAAATTATGTTTTTAACACGACCGTCTGGAAATAAATACTTTGCTCTGTTTGGAAATAAATTATAACCTCTCTTTCATTTTTCGCGTATTTTATATTTTGCAGAGGGAGCCACCACCTACATAGTGTTTTTTTTGTTATTCAACTCAAGCTGCCCTATCTTGTATTATTGTACCATGTTTCCATCTACGTTTTACAAATATACCATTAATTAAAATCGAACCAAAATAATTTCTAATTCGAAGAAATGTTTACCCTGGCAAAAGTTTCTGCATTTACGATGGCAGTTTCTACTGCTTGCACATTGCATTCCATATTAAGTTTACGTAGAAGCAAATATCCAACAATGTTACTTGTGTTTCATGCCGACTCATAATAAATTATGCCCTTAAAATTCACATGGCAAATTTCTTAAGTGCCATTGTTTTTCTCAAATGTGAATGCTGGCTCAGTAATAAATTTTCAGTTTCCATTAACAAAAAGTGCTTTTAAAATTTAACAGAATTTATAATATTATTTTCAATTTGCAAACAATTGCAGTACCAAATGAATTCGATTCTCAGAGCAATATTTTTGAAGGCAAAATGCAATACAAAGTTATTTTCGGATTAACCCTGAAAGTTATTAATGTAGTAAGAATGGTATGGTAATCTTGACATTGTTTTTGGTGTTACCGAACAAATCGATAAAACTTACATTTTACAGAGTATATGGGTAATATTGCCAATTTTTTAACATACCTGAAGCGGAGGTTTACCCCTTTATAACTCGGGAATTACTTAAGTATATGAGAAAAAGTGAATAGTTTTGGGTTAATTGATCTGTCGTTGCAAACTGTCCATGATATTGGCCTCCAAACTTTATTTTGGTGGAAGCTGTGTCTACTTTTAATGTAAAAAAATGTGTAAAAACAGTTTGAGGCGATCCAGTTTTTTATGTTCTTTATCGATTTGTGATTAAGGCACTCATTTCACTGTCTTTATGTCAAAGTAAAACTAGAAGCCAACAAAATGGGAAATACGCCCCTTATGTATCATTTTTCAAAATTTTAACTGCATCTACCTTTAAATGATGCTGACATTTTGAAGCTCAATTTTGAGTGTTTTTTTATTTTATTTCTAGCTTTAATACGCATACAGGAATTTCTAAAAATCGATTATAAGATTATTGTAGTCGTGAATCTGAGTAATTTGATATATATCTTGTGGGAACTGGCCTTTCAAAAACACGAAATTTGGCAAAAAATGTTTTTGAAAATATTGCGGATTTATTCGCGTTTTCTGTGAATCATTCCGCTTCAATAAATGACCTCATACGGATTTTGATCTTTTTCGAAAAGAGAACATTAAAAACTTCAGCCGAAAGAGAGATGTACCCAATTTATCTCAAAAATAGTGTGAGCTGGCACATCCATGGTTCTTAATGGACCACATTGAAATCGGTATAGATCGATGTATTTTTTAGGGTGCACACCGAAATAGGATGCGCGTTAATGGCATATGGAGTTTTCGGAAATTATTCGCGTTTTACGAGTTTTAGGTTACTTCAATGCAAGCTGTAGCACATCTTAGCCGTCAAATGAAATTTCGCAAAATATACATGGATTGGTACAATCCGCAAGGTGTATACTTATACACATGAAGTGATTATTATTATATATGCCAATTTTCCAGCGAAATTCAGGTAAAATAGCAGAATGACCCCAACTTTTTTCTGAAATTTTTTGTATAAAATTAAAAAAATAAATATGATTACATTATTTTTTCGAACCAAAAACAAATATTTTTCCTCAATATCTTGTTATGTTGTCGGTGTAATTTACAAACCGCTACACGGACTTGTGTGATTTTGATATCATTTGATTCATCGTGGTGTTTAGTTTATGTAGATATTTATAAATTATTTTTTAGGTGTGTGTATGTCATTAATATAATGAAAATATTGACGTAATCTCCTATATTATTATTTTTCTCATATTTCGCGAAGATTCATATTCTTATTTTAAGGAGGAAGATATGTATATATGAACGTTTTTGGTCAATATAATAAACGGCGTAATTTTAAGATTTTTTTCTTATGCCCAAAATTAAAACCTCGATAACTTTTGCGCGCATCAACCAAAAATTTGATCGCGAACGGTTTCGGAGTCAGAACATTTTTCTCTATATGTGTACCAAAAATCATTGATGTGCCACAAAAACAAAAAAAACTGATTTTTTGAAAATGGAATATTAAAAAAAAATTGGCAATATTGCCCATATATAGATTACACCAATATTTTCATTATATTAATGACATACACACACCTAAAAATTAATCTAAAAATATCTACATAATCTAAACACCATGATGAATCAAAATCACACAAGTCCGTATAGCGGTTTGTAAATCGCAGCGACAACAAAACAAGATATTGAGGAAAAATATTTGTTTTTGGTTCGAAAAAATAATGTCATCATATGTAATTTTTTAATTTAATACAAAAAATTTCAGAAATAATGTTGGGGTCATTCTGCTTTTTTACCTGAATTTCGCTGGAAAATTGACATGTATAATAATAATAATCACTTCATGTGTAAAGGTATACACCTTGCGGATTGTACCAAGACCCTTCCGATAAATCTTGGGGTTCTGTAAGTAAAAATAAATCTTAAAATAAAACTATATTATAAAATATACATTTTAAATTGCGTCTAAATTGCGTAATTTTCAAAATCATTTGATGCGCATGCGGTCTCAAGGAAGTACAGAAGTTTATCTTCCAATCCATGTATATTTTGCGAAATTTCATTTGACGGCTAAGATGTGCCACAGGTTGCATTGAAGTACCCTAAAACTCGTAAAACGCGAATAATTTCCGAAAACTCCATATGCAATTAACGCGCATCCTATTTCGGTGTGCACCCTAAAAAATACATCGATCTATACCGATTTCAATGAGGTCTATTAAGAACCATGGATGTGCCAGCTCACACTATTTTTGAGATAAATTGGGTACATCTCTCTCTCGGCTGAAGTTTTTAATGTTCTCTTTTCGAAAAAGATCAAAATCCGTATGAGGTCATTTATTGAAGCGGAATGATTCACAGAAAACGCGAATAAATCCGCAATATTTTCAAAAGCATTTTTTGCCAAATTTCGTGGATTTTCACGGAGAAGATTTTATATCATCCGAAACGTAAAAAACCTTATTGATCGCGGGTACCCATATCATTCAGTTGACAGATCTAAAAATTTGGCCCGAAAAATAGGTTTTTTATAAATTTGATCGCACAAAATTCTCAACTTCGGATGAGTATTACTCTGAAGCTGTGCATACTACATACACAAAATATATATCAAATTACTCAGATTCGCGACTACAATAATCTTATAATCGAATTTTAGAAATTCCTGTATGCGTATTAAAGCTAGAAGTAAATACTCAAAATCGAGCTTCAACATGTCAGCATCATTTAAAGTTAGATGCAGTTAAAAATTTTGAAAAATGATACATAAGGGCCGTAGTCCCCATTTTGTTGGCTTCTAGTTTTACTTTGACACGAAGACCGTGAAATGAATGGCTTAATCACAAATCGATAAAGAACATAAAAAAACTGGTTCGCCTCAACCTGTTTTTACACATTTTTTTACATTAAAGTAGGAGGTCAATATCATGAACAGTTTGCAACGACAGATCAATTAACCCAAAACTATTCACTTTTTTCATATACTTAAGTAATTCCCGAGTTATAAAGGGGTGAACCTCCGCTTCAGCTATGTTAAAAAATTTGCAATATTGCCCATGTATAAAAGAGTTGCGTTATAAGTGAGTGACTGATCATCAACGCCCAGACGAAACGGCCAAAGCTAGAAACTTGAAATTTGGCATGTAGGTCGGGTTTGGTGGGGAGGCGTGTGATAAGGCGGGGTTTTTGGAAATTCGTACTAAAAGGCACTAAAAAGTACTAAAAACTGAATTGCGCGGGAATGGATGAATAGATGTAGAACTCTGAAATTTGGTATGCAACTTTGCTTACGATAAGCGAAGTGGTATGTGTGAAAAAATTTTGGAATTTAGTACTAAGAGGTACTAAAAAGTACTAAATATTATATTTGAATGGAATCGGTAGAGATTCATATTTGAAACTTGGTATGTGGCTTAAGCTATTACAAATAGAATGAGTGCAAACGTATTTTTGGAAATTAGTACTAAAATGTACTAAAACTTTATTTCACCGGAACGGTTGGAAGTAGATTTGAAATTTGGTATGCAGCTTTGTCAATAATTAGAAAAGAGGTATGTGAAAATGTTTGGAATTTTGTACTAAGAGTTCCTAAAAAGTACTGAACATTATATTTGAATGGAATCGGTAGATATACATATCTGAAACCTGGTATGTGGCTCAAGCTATTACAAATAGAATAGTTTTTGCAAATTAGTATTAAAATTTTGTATGCAGATTTGTCAATAATTAGAAAAGAGTTATGTGTGAAAATGTTTGGAATGTAGCACTAAGAGGTACTTAAAAGTACTAAATAATATATTTGAATGAAACCGGTAGATATGCATATCTGAAACTTGGTATACAGCTTAAGCCATTAGAAATAGTATGTTGTACACAAACATTTTTTTGTAATTTAGTACTAAAATGGTACTAAAATATACTAAAAACCGTATACATATATTTTTAATTTTGTACTAAAAAGTTTAAATTGTTATGTCAATAGAACCGATAGAGAATGTAGAAATATTTTTCTTATATAACATTAAATATTGGAAATAGAATGTTATACATAATTTGTTTTTGGAAATTAGTACTAAAAAATTACTAAATAAAAATTACAATGGAACTGGTAGAAATAGAAATCGGAAACGTGGCAGGTTCCACTATTACTAGGACTATGCTATGCATTAATATATTTTTTAAATTAGTACTAATGGTAGTAAAATCCGAAAGTTAGTAAATAGCTTGACTATTTCAAATAGAATGATATGCATAAGTTTTTTTTTTGGAAATTAGTACTAACCTTGTACAACAGTGAATGGTAAGAAATATACTAATTTTTTGTACTAAGAGTGGAGAACTTTTGTTCGCAAACAAAATAGTGTATTGATAACGTTTTTTATTAAATGGGTTAAAGTACTAAAGGAATCTGTGACAGCAAAAATTTATACATAAATATTTTCCAGAAATATGTTCTAAAAGGTACAAAATTTCTGAGATAGAATTCAGAAATTTGTCACAAACCCTTTTCTATGAAAAACAATGCTTTTCGCATTTTGTATGTTTATTTAGTTATAACAAATTAAATATATTACGTATTTTTTGGAAATTTGTAATATAATATAATTGTAATTTAATATAGTTTTCGACCCCTCATGGACCTATACCACAGCGAATGATTTTGTCAATTGTAGTTTAAACTTCCGATGTAGTGAAAAACCGACAGGACTTCATATACAAATAACTGAACACCACAAGTACTAAATTATTGCCACTTTAAAACTTTTACCATAACAATACTGGTATTTATGTGTAATGACGTTTCCAACTCCACTGGAAATATTTTATACTGCCCCGACTTTCTATGTAATGATTAATGGGCGGTATCTTTATGTAGAGGATATACCGGCAATTCTTTTCAATGACGTTTCTGTAACACGCAACGCACTACAAATACCAATTGTCCCCAACTTTCAAGGGAAATCCTCTCTATAACGGTTTTAAACTACCTAAAGGAGCCAAAAAGTTTCAAAAAACCTATTATGGTTTTACTTACATTGGTTTACCGGGATGATCGAGAAAGTAGTTCACTTTCAGAAAATATTAACATTAGTAAGTAGTATTCGATTTAATACGATTCGATCATCAAAGCTTCTTAAACCTATGTTTGGAACAAATGCTGTCTAAGATCAGAAATTTTCTTAAAAGTAAATAATATATAGGACCAATGATTACTGATTTATATACTACATACTTGGAAATGCATAAATCCCTATTAACTTATATTGTGTATCTAAATTAATGTTTATTTTATCCGCTATTGAAAGATCCGCTAACGAAGTAGCGGGTGTATGCTAGTCTCCTATATTTGTTTATTTTTCTCATATTTTGCGAAGACGTGCAACTTTATCGCGATTATTATAATATATATATATATATTCATATTCTTATTTTACGGAGGAAGATCAGGGATGGTCCGTGTGACGAATTTTTAGGTTTTCGACTGTCAAAAAGGTGTAAACGTTGAAAACGTCATATACCTGTATAAAATGTAATAAATGTAGTAAACGTCATATATGTCAATATTATCAGCATATACATTTATTTTCAAGAATATATATTATTTTTTCATATATCTGACAATTCCCTAGTAGAACTAATAAACATTTCAAAATTTTTTTGAGAAGAACATTTTGAAATTTTATATTAATTTAAGTAAAGCATGCGTAATTTCAAATTGATTAATGGAATAGCTATTTTGTCAAAAACCTAATGGATTTGGGTAGGTTTCCGACGTTTCTGACGTATGTATTATACGTCGGAAATGTATGTCATTTACGTCACTGTTTCTGACAGGCCATCTCTGAGGAAGATATATATCAACCAATATTATGCCCAAAATTAAAACCTCGATAACTTTTGCGCGCATCAACCAAAAATTTGATCGCGAACGGGTTCGGAGTCACTACATTTTTCTCTATATGTGTACCAAAAATCATTGATGTGTCACAAAAACAAAACAGCTGATTTTTTGAAAATGGAATATTAAAAAATTGGCAATATTGCCCATATACATTTAAAAAATCTGAGTCGATCTATTAATTTCCTTAGTATTTTTGTTGCTAAAATATAGATGCAGTTTCTATATCTTAAAAAAGCATCTGGGCTTAAAGATTATACTGCAGTTCTTGACAATATAATTAAGATCTATTGATATGTTTTTTTTTTGTTTAATAAATTGTTGTGAATTGTAATTAAAGTTTCCGTGAATAAAAGCTATAGTTTCGAATTATTTGTGCATACATTCCAAGTAAATAATAATTCACAACTCGATCAAGTGACCAATTTATTTTTAGAAAATGAAAAAATGTTCAATAAATATTTGTATTTAAAAAATCACTTATTCAACAGTGTGTAGTGTTAAAACAAACGAATATTTAACATTCACACGATGGTATTATTTGTAAATGACAGCTGTTGTTGTTGTTGTTGAAGCTAAGAAATAGTTCAACGTTGTTATGGAGGGTATATTAATCAATTCTGATCTTATTAGGTATAAATATTTTTGATCAGCATATTCATAAATTCTATAAAGTTTTTCAAAGGAATTACATGTAGTTTGCTCTTTCGGTTTCTTAGCAGAAACCCATTCTCCCTATCAAACATGATAAATGTCGATCCACGTTTAGGCATAGTCCCCATGTAACGCACCCCTTAACATTCGGTATTTCGGGGTTTATGAGTGACTATTCCGTTTAATGGAATTGGTGTAGATGCAGACATAGCACCCATACCGAATAGTGCGTGTCCATTTGGATTTGAATCGTTTTACATTATTTCGTTCCATTGCATACAAACGACTCTAAATCTCTCTGAATGAAATGAAATTTAGCATAGGATGCAGAATGACATGAAATATTGCAGAATAGTAAATTCATTAGACATACTGTAGAGAGTATAATAATAATAATAGTTCATACGGAAGTACTGATAAGACAATATGCGAAATTTAACTTTTACCAGTTAAATCAATTAATTAAATCATGAACAATGGCAATGGAACGGTTCAAAAATAAATTAACAAGCGTATCCTCAGAAATAAGCAACTCAATATTTATTATAAACACAACATAAGATTTATTAGTTTATTTTGTATATATTTACAGAACGTCAAAGTCAAAATGTGAATTGGAAATTCCCAAACCGCTTAAAGATTCCGATATAGGTCTTTGGCGAATTATGAGTTACGGAACTTCTGGCATACCGAAGGGTTGCCTATTTTATGTCGGCAAATCCAAATCTGACATTATACTCACGGAGTTGTCTAAAGATATTGATTTAACCACAGTGAAGGTTTATAAGCCCGAGGGTACAGCGAAGAATGTGATCGACGAATTATTCTGCACGGTGCCATTTGAAATTCACGACTGTTATCTTCGGGATCCTAACAACACAATTTATATACCAGAGAGTATACGCTTCGACAGTCAACGCCTCTATGGAAAATGTGCGTTTTACAATATGCCCATTATCGAAGGTATGTGGTTATGTGGAGCGCGTGGCCGAGATTACGACAAAGAAGTTGTAAAAAACATTGAGGTGAGCGTTTTAAGTATTGATATGAATATATTTTGAAAAAGCTCACTTAAAATATTTTTGATTGCTTTCTGTTTAGGTTATAACAAAGTCGAAATATGGCGAAACTCTAACTGAAGTTGTCAAGGTAAAGCGTGGAGATACCGTTGAGTTGATGTGTAAAAGTCCATTCGATGAGCCCATATCCCATTGTGCTTTTATTGATCCAAATGGAGCCGTATTTCTAGTTGGAACGGTTAATAGTATTAAATCCAAAGGGTTGGTATATTAAGTTCCCGGACGTCAAGTGTCTTTTATTTTGATTTTAAATAATATTCCAATATAACTATTTTCAGTCGAATACAATATTATGGACGTGGTATAACGAAAGGTGATTGTGGTATTAAAATTACTGATATCAATCGTGATGACTATGGCCAATGGAAATGTCAGTTTATCATTCGTTCTGGCAATCTGAAATCTTCACTCACAATGGAAATCAAGGAAATGGGTAGGCTCCGTTTCAAAAGAAAACTTTAAGGTTTAAGTACCCAATATGCCCCACAAGTGTCAACATATTTTCAATGGATATTTCTTGATCGCTTTTAGATACTGCCCACGCTACTTCTGTCGGCTTAGCAATTGGTTTAACAGTTGTATTAATACTTGTTGTGGGTGTTGTGGTCGGAACTATTATTTATCGCCGGCGAAACTTAAGTGCTCGTCATAATCTCGCATCGACAGATCCTTTGGAACTTGCCGGTCCGTCGTCAATTTCGCAGGAAACCAACTAATACTGAATCAATCACTTTCACCTACCATAGAAATGTGTTCAATACGATCTCTTCTTTATTCTTAAATATGAAATATTTTAAATTATATGTCGAGTATTAATCTGTGCGGATAAGAATTAAATACTGATAATCAGGAATGATAAATCTTTAATTTACAAAATGCTATAAATTCCAGTCTAAATTATCTATAAAATTATTGCTAAACAATTTACCTCAAACACATAATTTTTCAGTGACTGGAATTCTATTTTAAAAAATGAAAAATCCAAAATACGCATTGTCAATGTGGAAAATGTTCAACTTAATATTTTGATACGCAATGCATATTTGGGTAACATTCATTGAACTACAAGTATTTAACTTTTGAGGTAAATAAATTAAAAATTTTAAATTTTCATACATTTTCGCCGTTTTCAATTGACACACATGTAAAAAAGGTCCGTGCGTATTTGGGTTATACGTACGTTCAAGAAACCATATAAAGGTGATTATTCTAGTACATAGTGTATTGAATTAGATTCGAGCCTTAAATTTTTTTTATGAAAACATAGTTATATAATTTGTTTTTATTTTTCTTATTATTTATTTATATCTCTATTATTGAAAATACAAACATAAAGATTTCAATCGAGGTAGATAAGTTCCATATAATGTCGAATAGTAAGTCCCAATTTAGATTAGGCGAGTTTACTTGCGGCAACTCATTGTTTGCTGGAGAGAGGGGCAAGGGGAATAGAAATGGAAAATTTTAAAAAAGTAAACAAATATTTTTAATACTTCCAAAATTCTGTGTTCTGATTGGTGGAAATAATTCGCTTCAAATGTTATATGTCACTAATCTAAATCAGGACTAAGGAAAGTTGAGTATTACAACGTTACTTAAAATTCAACGAAGCGTACAAAAATATTCAACTTCCCCACTAATGCAGAATGTTTTGTACGGCCGTATTACCCAAATACGTCGAATCCATTTCTCTTAGCGAACTAAAAAAAATCGCGAAATAAAATTAAGAAATTATAAAATGTGTTCAAATATTTCATATTCTTATTGAAAAAATTAAATTTCTTTATGTTTTGTTTCTTTTTTCGACAAAAGAAAAAACAAAACTACGTTCTGTCATAGTTGAATTTTTTTCAACTTTGAAAATTTGTACGTCGACGTATTTCGGTAACATTCGTATAAATACATGTGTTCTACTTTTGTGGTGAAAAACGTCGAACGAGCTAGTTAAATTTTAGGTAAGGGGGTTAAGTTTGCTGTAAAATCATATTTAGAAATCTATACATACCAAGGTAGTCGCCGATGCGACTACCTAACAACAAAGCATCTTTTTGGTAATATTACATGTCAAAATTTGTAATCAAGGCAAATAGAATTCAATTCGCCTTGACATTTCGAAATTTAGGCAAATTTTATTCAGAATCAGAACAAAATCAAGGCCATGGCCTATATAAGGTCGGCCAGTAAGCACAGGTGAGTATAAAGTTTGCTGTCTAATCATTTTTTGATACCTATACATACATACAAAATTATGTTAGACGCAAAACGAAAATATTAATATTTTTTCAACATTAAATTAAATTTCAATTTATATCGCCTTTGTGAAGAACATTTGGACTATTTCAAGAGTTTAAAGAAGATTTTCAAATAAATTCTTCTACAAATTATAAATGGCGTTGTGTTTTGGCTGTGTATTTTATTTAAATCGAAACAATTAGTTTTCGCCTCGGCAAAAAATTGACGTTAAACTTAAGTTTTCTCTATGAATTCGCTTGCTGGCCGACCTTATATAGGCCTTGATCAAGTAAGCACAGGTGAGTATAAAGTTTTTTGTTAAATCATATTTTGAAACCTATACATACATACAAAATTATGTTAGACGTCAAAACGAAAATATTAATATTTTGTCAATATTCAATTCAATTTTTATTTATATCGTCTTTTTACAGAACATTTGCAGTATTTCAAGAGTTTAAAAAAAGATTTTCAAGTAAATTATCATTAAAATTACAGATTGTGTTGTGTTTCGCCTCGGAAAAAATTGACGTTAAACTTAAGTTTTTTTCTATGAATTCGCTTACTGGCCGTCCTTATATAGCCCTTGAACAAAATGCTTTTATGTCCTACACCTCTGTGCTATAAGTATGTGTTGCCTCAAGAGTTTGTAGCTGCACGATATATTGATTCTAGATTCTCTTTGTATATCGTTTATCATCTCTCAACTAGCAGAATCATTCTAGTCATGTATGTCCGTCTGTCAATTATAATTTGTATTTCTGAAGATTTTCGCAAATAGATTCGGTTCTTGCCTAAGACGACTTCTATTGGTTTTGGTATTGATTGGTTTATATTTACAGGCCACAAATATGACCCGAAAACACGAAATTATACGCAGAAGATGATCTGGCCAACGGGTCAAATTGATTATAAAATTATAATGCTCAAATAAATTGATGTATGCACTCCGATATTGTATTTATCTTAAATATTTACATTGCCGTTGTTGTTTATAGTTGACCTGGAAATTTTTAATTCTGTTTGATGATCGTTCGGCTGAAGGTCAATGAAAAACGTTTGTTTTTTTTTAACTTTGTTTTTTATTTATTTTTCCAATATTTCGATTGTCATCGACAATCATCTTCAGGGATCTGTTACAAAGAATACAATTAGTTACAAATTGATAAACTAAAAATTCACGAATCTTACATTTATATTAATGTAGAAGAAAAGCGTCTACATTACTTTAACGTCACAGTCAAACTAAGTTTTCTTTTTTCGTCTATGCTTATGTACTAAGTTCCTATAGATATGTGCACAGTGGTCTGTGTCAGTTTTATAATTAATTCTTTTTTCCGTCGGTACATTTATGATGTGTAACATTTCTAATGTAAATCGTCTCCTGTAATTATTTTCCTGTGCTACAATGTCAATATCTTTGAAATTTGGTTTGTGACCAGTCAAAGTGCAGTGTGCTGCTAGCGCCGTCTTTTGCTCTAATGGTTTGTCAGATTTTTGATCGGATTTATGTCCGGAAAGTCTAGTATTTAATTTTGTTTTTGTCGTGCCAATGTATACCTTTTGGCATACATCACCTTCGTCACCGTTACATGCTATCCTATAAACTACATTGCACTTATCCTCTTTTTTGTCTTTGTGTTTTTTTACTGAACATATTATTGACAGTGTAGATTGTCTTTAAAGCTATCTGGACTTTGTCCCTATTGTACACATTAGATCTGCAAAATCTCTCCGAAAATCCAGGGATGTAAGTTAAAGATTTATACATTTTTTCATTTTCTTCTTCAATTCTCAAGTTTTTATTCTGTTTTGCATGCTTTAATAGTTCGTCGATTATTTTTCGTGGAAAATCATTCTTTTTTAATATGCGTCGTATTTTTATTTCATTGTTTTGGTGGAATTGTTGGTCACTTATATTGAAAACTCTATGTATAAAATTTGTTGCCGTATTTATCTTCACTCTTCGTGGATGATTGGAATAAAAGTTTATAAGTCGTCCAGATGCTGTTGGTTTTTGGTACCAATCTAATTTAAGTTCCTTGTCTTGTCTGATTATCATTGCACCTAGATATGGCAGCTTGTCCTTTTCCTCTGTTTCATGTGTAAATTGTATGTTTTTGTCGAATGAATTCAATACCCTTAGTGTATTTTCGACTTCCGTTTTTCCCCTATACAAAATATATAGTCCACGTATTTTGTTAATATCCTTGGTTTCATCGTCATCTTTTCTATAGAAGCGTCCAATAATTCCTCCATTATTACGTCAGCTATAATCGGTGACGCTGGTGAACCCATTGGAAGTCCTTTCCGTTGTTCGTACACCTTGTCTTGAAATATAAAATATCTGGAGTCTTTAATACAAAGAGTCAGTATTTTTATAAATAAATCTTTTGGCATTCTGGTATAGTCTTTCAGTGTGTTCCATTTTTCGGCGATCGTCTTGAGTGCTAAGTATATTGGTAGTATTTAGTAATATGAGTTCTTAGAGTGTGAATACCATCATTCCAGGTTTGAGGTAGCACCCATGCACAATTCCTGTCCGTTTGTATGTCACGAAATTTAAATTTTATTTTCAAAAATTAATTTTATTTATGTATTTAAGGCAAATTCAATGAAACCCCTAAAGCGTGGACTCAAGGCACATATATTAGGTAGTCGCATCGGCGAATTACTACAACAAAGCAATGTTTTTGGTAACATAATATGTCAAAATTTGTAAACAAGTCAAATAAAATTTAATTCGCCTTGACATTTCAAAATTTAGGCAAATTTAATTCAACCAATCAGAACAAAATGTTTTAATACCCTACACATCTATGTTAAACCAAGGTGTATTTAATAAGGTGTAAGTGACAATCATATGGTTTTAAACTTTTTTCTTTTTGTTTGTAAAGTAAATTGTCAAACACATTTTTCGACGTTACATTTTCATTTCAAATTAAAATATTGTTTCATGTCATGATATTGTTTTTAGCTTTCAAATACTCATTCATAATAATTAAGAATGCGAAAGTGTATAATTTGTAAAAAGAAATTTGTGAACGGGAACGGATCATTTTTAGTGTCCCAAAGGAGGAAAAAAGGATGCTTATTTGGAGTGAAATATTTGGGAAGACCATTTTTCTCCATCCTACGTAATAAGAGGTCTTCAAAGGAAATGTATTATAAAATACTGCATGGTTCATCAAAGAGTGTATGTTTGTTCGATTTTCACGAAATAATACATACAGCCTGTTTTTGTAAAATTCCAAACGTTCGAGTACTTACGACCAAACCTTTATTTATGTTCATAAATGTTTTCTGATTCAAAACAAAAATAAATGACATATTTTTCAAAACCAAGGAGTTTGGTCATCACTCGAAAGTTCGTTTGGAATTTTACAAAAACAGGCTGATAGTCTTTAGTTTAAATACGTTCATCTTAATGATTCACCAAACATCCAAAGTTTGTCTGATGGCTACGAATTTCTGCACAACATTA